TTCATAGAAAAGATATTTAAAGTGTATTAAAGATGAAAATCAGAAAGTGCTTTTCTTAGAAAAGATATTTAACATAGGTGGGTGAGTTATTTTGATAATTTTTTTAATAAAGTTTTTAAAAATACGATCGATCTTAGTGATCTTAATATCAATAATAATAATAAAACGTTTCATTCTTACCGTCGCATTAATAAAAAAGAAGTTGATGAGGCTTTAAAGAAAATCAAGGGTGGAAAGTCTGTAAAACAATATGATATCCCATTTGAAGTGTGGAAATTTTTAGGAGATTTGGAGTTTCTTGGCTAAACTCTTTAATATTATTTTAAAAACTAAAAAGATGCCTGAGGAGTGGAGGAAGAGTATTTTGATTCCCATTTTTAAGAATAGAGGGAATGCACAAGAGTGTGCAAATTATAAAGGAATTAAGTTGATGCGTCATTCTTTAAAATTATGGGAGAGGGTAATTGAACATAGGTTAAGACGTATTACAAAGATTTCTCATAATCAATTTGGATTTATGCCGGGCAAGTCTACTATGGAAGCTATACATTTATTGAGAGGTTTGATGGAGAAGTTCAGAGATAATGAGGAGGATCTACATTTGATATTTATTGATTTAGAAAAAGCTTACGATAAGGTTCCAAGAGATATCCTTTGCAAAGTTCTTGAGAAGAAAGGTGTTGATATAGCTTATATTCGAGTCATTAAAGATATGTATACTAGAGTTGTTAGTTGTGTTCGAACTGAAGGAGGATTGACCGATTATTTTCCTGTTTTTGTTGGATTACATTAGGGATCGGTTTTAAGTCTATATCTTTTTGCTTTAGTTATGGATGGTTTTGCTGGACATTTACAAGAGGATGTACCTTGGTGTATGCTTTTTGTTGATGATATCCTTCTCGTAGATAAAACGAGAGAAAAAGCCTTGAAAAAATTTGAATTATGGATGTCTACATTGGAGTCTAAAGGCTTTCATTTGAATAGAACTAAAATTGAATACATGGAATATAATTTTAGTAGTAGTAGTAGTTCTAGTGGCAAAAGTGTAACTTCGGGTGATCAAATTATTAAAAGATGTGAACGATTTAGATACCTCGGGTTTGTTGTTCAATGGTGATATAGATGGGGATGTTAATATTAGAATTCAAGTTGGTTGGTTGAAGTGGAGGAATGCTTCGGGCCTTTTGTGTGATAGAAAAGTACCGCTTAGACTGAACTTAAAGGAAATTTTTATAAGATGGTGGTGAGACCTGCAGCTCTATGGCACAGAATGTTGGCCTTTAAAAGAAAAGCATCAAATTAAGTTAAGTGTTGCCGAGATAAGAATGTTTAGGTGGATGAGTTGCTTGACACTTAGAGACAAAATGCGAAATGAATATATCCGTGATAAGTAGCTTCAGTGAAGGACAAAATTAGAGAGAGTCGTCTTAGATGGTTTGGTCACATTAAACTTCGACTATCTGATGATCTAATTACTATAGTAGATGTTTTAGATTCGACTTATGTTAAGAAAGGCAGAGGTAGACTTGGGAAGACTTGGGCTTATTGTATAAAAAATGATCTTAATTTATTAGAACTAAATGAAAAAATGACACTAAATAGGACTCAATGGAGAAAAAGTTTATGTTTATAAATACAATAAAAGGACTTAATAAATGTTTATAAATGTTTATAACTTAAAATACACTAAAAGGACTTAATAAATAGGACTTAATTTATTAGAACTAAATAGGAAATTACAATGTCAAGTTATTTCCTATAAATAACTTGACACCTTTTTTCAACCTTCACAAATTTAATTATTTTTTCTCTGAGAATTGACAAAAATGTGCTTTTGTAATGATATTATCTGCTATGAAATGTCCCCCTCATGCTTGGAAATATATTTGACAAATGGGATATTTGGTTTCCTACAAATGACTAGCACCTTTTATCATTCTTCACACATTTAATTATGTGTTCTCTTTGAATTGAGGAAATTTACATAAGTTTTTCAAACAACTTATTGATGTATAACATGTCAAATTCAAAACTAAAACCCTCTAATTCTACCCTATGGTTAAGGGTTGGTCATTTGATATTAAACATTTTCATCACTAGCATTAATGTGTGCATTATAACTAGAGTTTACACAATTAATATCACAATTTTTGTTCCTTAAAAAATACATTAGAATATTCATACAAAAATCAATGATCTGCTTCCATTTATCCTGAGTATCTATAGATTTAATAAATTAATCCATATTATTTTCAAATGCATTACTGTATTGTAGCATCTCATAATCATTATCGTAATATTCTTCAATCATAGGATTTTGTATACTCATACTTAACATCCTCATCATCATCATCCCCATCACCACAATTTTTATTTACTAATGCACCTCTATCATCACACTTTTCCATTAGCACATCAATTGTTTAGGTCAAATCACAAAATTATCGTGAAAAGCTTAAATCTTCAAGCCACTCAAAATAACATCACATAAGTTATTTGTGACATTCTCAATCCCTTCAACTTTATTTTCAAATACTCTGTGCTGAAATTAATACATGTTAACACTTCTATAAAATATCCCAAATTTGAAAAAGGAGCCGCTACTTAAAAACTTATCTGAATGTGGATAGAAAAATCTTAGATTCCCTCCTCTAGCATTCTCAAGACTTATTCCTATGAGAAATTTTCAACAACCTACTTAATACCTCAATTATAAAAGAAATCATACATCAAAATAAATTACCGCTCATTGCTCCTAGAGCTCCATCCGGCGCTGCTTGGTGGGATGCTTTGACTGATTCTCTTCTTTCTTACGAGGAGGAAAGTTTTGCTCGCCCATCTTTATCTCTCCTGCCAATAAAAAGGTTCATGTTACAAAAAAATGTTAATCCTAGGTATAAATAAGTAGTTCTACTAAATTTGAAATAAAAAGTTTATGTTTTAACTAATAAATAAAATAAAAAGTAATTTTAAGGATGGTTGTTCTTAAAAAAATCACTTACCTTGTTCATTTGTGCCTCTTAGCCCAAGAAAGTCATGGAACGTTGCCTCAACAAACTGAGCTTGTTGCATAAATTGTTCTATTAGGTGTTTAAACTAGCGCTCAGAAATGCTTTTTCAGGAATTTTCAACGGTTTCAACGCTTGCGTTGGCCTCACTATTTGAAGCTCCTTGGTGCTCTTTGTTGCTCGATGGTCCTCATTGTTAGTGCTCACCACGTCATCCCTAGTCGCACTTGTCATCACTAGCGCTCGACTCGTCATCCCTAATCGCATAGGTCTCACCCTCTCTAATTGTGCCTCTCGGTGCACTCGATCACGTAGGTGCTTGGTAAATAACAAAAATATTAAAACTCTAAATTCCCCTTCCAAATTGTAGGTCCTCCATTAATTTTAATCTCAATTTCAACTGTTTTTAACAATGGGACTATTTTAGTACCTGTTAAGATAGTTTGGGGTTAATTTGACACTTCTAAAAAAATAGGATTAAAATGACCCCCTTCAAATAGTGAGAGGATTATTTTGATTTTTTTCCCTATGGTTGGTTTATATGTCGATTGAAAAATAGACATTGTTTTTAAAGTATATTTTTTGCATCAACCTATGCAGCTCTAGTGATAACTTTTTATCAAAAATGATTGAGCTTTTTCCATTAGCTTCAATTTAACTCATTTAACTCTAAAGGAAACAAACATATTGTCATATTCAAATAAAACTTCAACTTTTAGTTGATATGAAGATACAAAATTAAGCCCAGATTCCAAATCTGATGCATGACGTCTAATTTTCTAGAGTTTCTTCATACAAAAAATGGAATGCAAAAGTTTTTGCACGTACAATTCAAACTTTTTGTTCACAAAATTTAATCTCTTTAGGTGACAATAAAAAAATGATTAAATTCACCTCAAACAATAATTAAATTTTTTAGTAGAAATCTCCCATAAAAATTAAGTTAATTAAAAGAATCACACAGTAGATCAAACTCACATTGCAATGAAAAATAAAGTTGAAGGGATTGAGAATGTCACAAATAACTTATTATCAACTTCTTTTTCTTGAGTGAAAAATTTTGTTTCTTAAATCAATTCATTGAAATTTATGAAATTAAAAATCTTCAAAGTATACTTTTTTGTTAACTAAATATAGGAAGAAAATATTGAAGAACACAAAAACATGATGAAAATATTCATTGATTTGGTAAAACTTACTACTATACATCCTCACAGTTCTTTATTATTTTTATCTATGATCAAATATGAGTCTGAGTAACATGGCCAAGAGGAGGAAATAGAAGGATGACTAGTGTACTTTTGAGATCATTTTCTGAAATTTAGAAACGTCTATCAAATATATGAAGAATTTTGTTACCAGTTTATTTTGTTGATTTAACTTTCAATATTAAAAGCTATTAAGCTTACATTTCTTATTCATGCCTATTTTCTCTTTATATCACTTAAATAACTACTCTTTATACATGAGAAAAAATGAGAAAGCTAATATTCATTTACTGTGAGTAACTTATTTTTACACTAAATTTTTTATAAGAATGATGACATCAAAGGGAAAAGTTAACAATCATTATTCGTTTATTGTGACTAATTAATTTTTAATTTAAACAGAAGATTGACATTTACAAGTTAGAATTTTATTTTGAAATATAGTTTCCAATCAACATAATATTAGGAGAATCTGTTTCAAATTATCACATTACATTTAAATTATAAAATTATAATTTATTTAATTTTGATCACTTATATTATTGGCACTTGCATTTTAATAGCACTTACAATATCATGTTGGCATGAAACTCAATCTAACTAAGATTTTAGTTTGCTTTTTCTAGTTGATATGTCACTACGTTTTGACAAGGCAGACTAACCTGTTAGAAATTTTTAGCTGGCATCCTTTGTTTATGTATCGCTTGAAGATTTCAGCAGTTTAAGATCGTCTTGAACCAAAATGTCACAATGAACTTACTTTTCTTTTTCGTTGTAAAAACAGATGTTTCACAACAGGTGCGCGATGCTATGCAGAATATGCTCAAGATGACTGCGTAAGTTTCTTTTTTGTCTGCTTAATTCACTAGATTAAAGATTTGTTTCTCCCATAAATTTGCATCGTTCTCTATCTATATGGCATTTAATTGCATTTTCATGCCCGTGCATATGTTGTTACTGTGGGTTCACAGACAATTTGGGATTGGATGTTGGATCTTGACTTGTCAATGAACCCACAATTATCACTTTCCAATTGAAAAATAAAGAAAAATGGCGGTTAACATGAAAAAATGAGAAACTTGATGTTGTTTCTAAAGTGAAATAATTTTCTAATTTATAGAATATAGAGGTCCAAAAAATACTCGGACTACTTTATACCTGATTGCTCTTAGCAAGTTGTAGGTGAAAAGAGGGAGTGGTGCCTAGTGTCATAATTTTTTTGGGGAATGTTAGATTTCCATCATTCATATTTGTTGATATATGTTGATTGTAGAAATAAAGAATCATGCAAGAGCAAATAGTCCATAACATAGGTTTCTACAATGTATGCTTTATCATGGAAATGATATTGTTGATGACGTCCTTATTGGAATATAGGCATGTACAATAAAAAATAAATTATTTATTTAAAAAATTAGTATTGTGATACAACTATTGTAACTCATTTAATATGACCTAATATTTATTTTATTGAGCTGTACAAATTTCTTACTTCAAAATGTATACATCAAAATTTCAGCATAAAAAATTTACACCAATCCTTATGAATGTATTTTGTGAGAAATTTTGATGGCATCCTTTAACTTCTAAGCTAGTAACCTACTTTGTTATTAGAGATTATGTTGAAATAAGCTACATCTATGCCATAAGACAACAAAGGAACATATGTTAAAATCAAGTTAAAATATAAGTTTGCAAAGCATATCTGACTTTTATATGTACTACAACACTATTTCTTGTTTTAAAATGATGTTTTCATTTTCTCATATTTTGTGTGTGATAATAAAATTATCATTTTTAACGTATTATTTATAGTCTAAAAGTAATTTTAATTTTCAATTGCTTCTAACCAAATGATGAAATTTCATGAATTCTTCATTTTTTTAAATATGATTTATAAATTCCCTTGATGCTTTAAATATCTTCATTTGATTGCTACTCAGTTATAGATGATCTCATAAATTTTTTAATACTACTCAAAGTGTGCTTAAGTTGTACCATTCTCCATATTTATATATGTTTTCATGTGATTAGGGCTATAAAAAAAGCTAGCCATTTACGAATATGTTTGGCTTGTTAAATAGCTCATGATTGAACAAATGAGTCGAACATGAATAAATTTTTTTAACTCGATTTATAAATGAGTAGAACACAAACATACTTTTTTTTATCCTAATCGGCTTGTTTTTTCTCAAATTAATTAAATTATACAGAAATAATATGTAAATTTTAAAATAATGGTATCTTTGATACAATATCAAAGATTTGATTTGTATAAATGTAAAAGATGAAATTTAGGTATTAGATATATAAGAATACCCCTAGAATTTAGGTGTTAAATACATAAGAATTGGGCGGTTTTTATGTAAATGCCCCTAGAATTTTTCCTGCATTTAAATATTAGAAATATAAATGCATAAGAATTGGGTGATATGTATGTAAATACCCATAGAATTTTTCCGGCATTCAAGAGTTAGATATGTAAATACATAAGAATTGGATATTATGTATGTAAATGCCCCTAGAATTGTACCGCTCCTATCCCATCCTGCCCCGTGGTATCTAGATATGAAAATACATAAGAATTAGGTGGTATGTATGTAAATGTTCCTATAATTTTCCGGCATGGCCTAACCCGCAATTCAAGTATTAGTCCTGCCTCGGAAATTTTCATGTTAGAAATGTTCTTTAACAGCCAAAAAAAAAAATTACCTATATGAAAATCTTCAACGTAGGAAGGGATATCATATTGTTTGTCTTACTGTTGATATATTAGTAAAAAATGGTTAGTTTTATAAGTTCGGTATTAATTGTTTAATTTATTAAACTCTTTCTAATACTATTACTTCTTTAATAATCTAAGATAGAATTGAATGGGAGCTTGAGGTGAGGCAAAGCTCTGCTTGATAAAAAGCTAAACAGGCTACTCAATTAATCAAGTTTTAGTTGAGCTTATATTCAAGTCAAACAATCTAATTCGAACAAACAAACTTAAATCAAGCCAAACATAAATATGTTATTCACGAGCTATTTCGAACAAAAAAAAATTTCGAAGAAGCTGAACACAAACAAGCTCTTGGCTCGCCAAACCGAGCTCGTTTGATCCCAAGATATCATTCTTCCATAAATGATCAACGTGGCTCTTAAAGGCCATGAGAGTATGTTTGAAAAAGCCGAAGAATATGGTTGCTAATGGTTTTCATGCTTAATTATCTTTTATTTTTGCTTTAAAGGACCAGGATGCTATCAATATTCTATTAATAAAAAATCAGCATTTATTTCACCTAATTTGGAAAATGATGCATCCAACCCTTGACAAATTAGATTTTATACATAGCGTGCAAAGGAGTCCCTTGTCCAAATTCTGTTTGTCTGTGGTAAAACCTATGTAATGCGCGTGTTGCATTTAATTTCTAATGAAGCTCCAATGGAACAGCGAAATTGATCAGAGTTCTGGGGATGTAGTGGAAGAGATAGAGAAGTGCAAAGAGTCTGCTAGTGCTAAGAGCAAGATCTTAGAAGAAGAGAGAGATCGCTACCAGAAAGCTGCAATGGCGGTGCTGCAGATGCTCAATGGCTCCGACGATATTCCTTGAGCGCCTTTTATTTGTTCGTATTGAAGTCATAAATCTCGCTGCGTCTGAACAACGCAGCTGTTGCTGTTCTTGACCTTCGGATGACAGGTACTTTAGATTTTGATGCAGAGTAATGCCTATAAATAAAGTAGCTATCTTATACTGCAGTATTAGAATATTAGAAATTTAGAAAAAAAAAAAAAAGAATTACATTGGATTCCTCACAATAAATCTGATGATAAAGTCATTTTCAGAACTTTTGAAGTCATTATATTTGTTATTGCTTTAAATAGTTCCGACCCAAGTGTCATCTAGCATGAAAAATTATTCCATATGGTGTATCTGATGTCTGATATCTACTGTCCATCACAACAAAAGTGATGACGGTGAGATCTATTTTGAATTTTTTTTAAAAAAAAAAAATTTACTGTGATGCATGATAATCGGACACCGCATGTATTTCTACATACGGTGTTCGTATGGCTCGCATGGCAGAAATTATATCAATTGAATCTCCATGATTTTTTTTTTATTTATTTATTTTTGGTACTTGCCTTTTCTTGAAAGCAAGGTTTTAAAATGTGCTTTTAGTTGCAATTTGCTGCTTCAAAAATTGGGGAAGTTGTATTTTTGCTGCTTTTGATGATGGGAAAGTTATTTTAACGTAAATTATTTAATAACAACCTACACCAATGGTACTAAAATATTTTTTTTCAAAATTAGATTTTAGTTAATATTTTTTTAGTTTTAAATGATATTTTATAATACATGACATGAGAAATTAAAAATAGAATTACTGACCGCTTAAAAGCAGACATAACTTCACAAGAAATCACGAAGAAAATGAGAATTACTCGAGACTTGTTAGAAGGGTTTGCTCCGCGAGAGATTAAATAATCGCCGAAATTGGCTCAAATTTATCCTTTTGTTTATATCTCCTCAAAGCCAGCGTCTGCTACTTTCAAACAAATGATTTTTTCTGCTCATAACATTATATATTCCATCAGGACAACACCAGACGTAAATTTCCATTCCGAGCCTAACAACAGGCACTTGCCGGCAGGTGAGTCCCACTAATAATTTTTTTAGAGGGGAGCATCCTCTAGTAGAATAATTGTTCCATTATATGTGCAGAATTTCCAATAAATTATGTAGAAAAGGTGATATCATTGGTAACAAGTCGAGGAGAAAACGTAAGAAAAAACCAAGAGTCAAACTGAATCAAAAGAACATCTACCGACTAGGCATCTTTACAAATTATAATGCTAAAATGACAAATGACGTGAAATAACGTTTGATTTTTTACCATATTCATAACAAATCTTTAAATAATTCATAAAGGAAACTATACTTTTAAAATTTAACACCTGGCAAGTCGGTCTTCTCAACAACCACAGAAAATCGTATAAACAGCAGATAATTCACTTTTGCATATAAAGGTACTGAAGTTGTTCCAGGCTAAACATAACAATTTACAGCTCAGGTAAATGAAGTTTGAAATCCAAGCATATAATATAACAAATAAAAGCATATATTAAACTTAAGAGTTCTGTCCAAAAAATCACAGTTCACCGAGTGACACAAGAATTTAACATTATCCGGGCCACTGAAATAATTATATAATAGGCCACAAGATCCTTGATCAAAGAAGCAATTAACTCTAATACAAGGCTAGGATTTAAGACCTCACCAAAAACATGTCATTCAAATTTGACCACCACACATCTGAAAGCTGTAAAGTATCAACAAGACATAAAACAAGAGTGTCTGTTCCCCCCTAAACTCCTAAAAAACTCGTTAAAAACTCGAGGCCATAAAGTCTAAGCAGAAGAATAAAAGCTTCAGGGGAACATGAGGTATAGAATAGAATTGGCTCAGGTAGCTAAGCGGTGGTCTCTGTCTCCATTGGCTCAGAAGTAGCAGAAGATGGCTGACTGTTACCTTCAAACTCGTGGTCACCACCACCACCCTCTTCCTTGCCATCATTTGGTGGTTGCTGTTCCACCTCACTTTGAGGCGGAGTAGGAGGCTTGGCTGGGGCTGGTTTGGGCTTGGTCATAATTGGCCTGCAAAACCTGTTAACCAAAATCTTTTTGTCAATACAATGTAGGACAGTGCCTGAACAACACCATGTATACTCGCACATGAACAGACTCAGCCTCATACAACTTGGTTCATTTATTATCAAGTCGAACATAAACAAAAATCCCGTTTGAAGACCATCAAGCTGATTGCATTAAAAATTAGGTCATAAAATTATATATATAACTCTTACCAAACCAAAGATGATCAAATGGGCCCTTTTTCAAGTTTGGCTTGTTTAGTGAGGCTAAAAATTTTGTTGAAGCTCGACTCATTCACTTAACAATGGCAAAAAAAAGTAAGTTATTTGCAGCGAACAGCAAGAAATCTCGCTCACAAAGATATCTTTTTTTTTAATTTTGAAACATATGTCATGCTGGTGGTTCGGCATGCATATAACCAATAAAAATATGACCCGCATTATCATAATGAATCGGAAGACTTAGTATAATCATAAGTGACTCAATTCCTGAGAAAAGCAATTTCTATTCAACTGAACATATACCTAAGGATTATTGTAACTTTAATCTAGTTCATAAATGATGTTATGCAATAGGATCAAGTCATGTGTTCTAAAAAAAACATTCCGTACACATTATGAACAATATGCCACATTTTAATCACAATGATCACCGTGAAATATAATTTCACCTGTCCAATGTCTCGGCTTTCCTTCTAAGATCAGCACACAGGTAAGCGGGGTTGGCATGTTTAGGCAGCGCACCCTGCTGCTGCTGCTTTTCTCTCAACCATGATTCAGCTTCAGAGCACTCATTGATGACCTATAAACAAAGCAAAAGAAATGGCAATAAGTAATTCGCATTCGACAGTCATCAATAGCAGACCTGAACATACTCATATCTAGATTGAGAGATAGCTAAAAGACACGAGCAATAGAATAACCTTTTGCTTCTCAGCAAGGTCAATATGATCAAATTTAGGATCTTTAGACAAAGCTGCTTCTCCGTAGCTATTAATGCAATAAGCAAGTTGGTCAATAGCAGGTCCTCTTTCTGTCCACTCCTTGTGGCGCAGTTCAACAGGGTCACCTTGCTGCACGTACATGAAACTTCTTTAATTGCGAGCAAGGGCATAACTTTAATTAATAAAAACATTTAAAAGAAAAAAAAACAAACCTTCTTCAATTCTTCAAGTTTTGCAATGTAAACGCCCTTGGTTTCATCTTCACCATCCTCATAAAGCCAATCCTCAACCTCCTGAAGCTTGGCAATAAGCTCCTCCCTCTCCGATGGAGTTACAAATTCATGGTACTTGTCGTTAAGCTGCATCAATTAACAAGGTAACAACGGAGTTAAGAGTGAACATTAGATGGATTAACCCTGAAGAGAACAAAATAATAATAACAAACACATTTTTTTTTTGTTGAGAAAAGCTTTTAATAACACAAATGTTCTCAAATTCTTTTATAAAGGGTCATAATCTACCTTGTTTCGCATGTCATATACATATGCCTCCACAGCATTCTTCCTATCTTTGGTTTCTTCCATAACTCTATCTTGAAGAGCCATTTCAAACTCCTTCTCTACAGCTTTCTGCAAATCCGTAGATGATATTGCGCCATAGACCACCTCTGCAACTGGAACATTGATCTTCTTCACCCTCTTCTTAGTAGCTCCTCCAGCCTGCAAAGTTATCAAGGGAATGATAAAAATGTAGAAATGAAGTATATTAAAAAGAAACTCATCCACATAGCTTGCTTAAGTTGCTCAAGGATGCAAAGATAAATGACTAGGTTTATTAGTTAATACACTCCCATCATTAGAGATAAAGAAATGTGTGAGAATTGCCAAGAAATAATATTTTCCACTTGCATGTAGTTTTATAACGGATAGGCTTTGACTTGCCCGCTTGGGAGCTCAGTTTTATTGAAGAGGATATGCATTACTGGAAATTGGCTACCCTAAATTCACAGAGCCCTAAATGACGGTTGCTGCATAAACATTTTAATCCTGGATGAAACCATACCTCAGGCCAATCCCAACCTCAACTTTCCTTGTGCGTACTATCGAGCTTTCTCAAGCTTTGTCAATACTTGCGTGATAAGAAGATAATTTTAAAAAAAAAATGCTCCGAATTGAAGCCTTAATAGGGTTTGCCAAAGCTAATAAAAGCAGTAAGCCCAATGCTATCGCATGAGCCTTAAAACATGATGAGAGGGCTTTGAACCTTAATCTTTCTATTTCAACCGCATCGCCAGTGTCCAAATCCTCATTTTGAACCCAAAAGAGAAACACAAGAATCACATATTTCCATGCAACAGTTTGGTAACCAATTGATAAATCAATCAATCTAAAGAAAAAGGGAATACAGAAAAGTAGCTCCTCTTTGTGAGTACCGGCGATCTCCGCCTTTTCTTAACTCTGGACTACTTTCTCCTTGAGAGGGATTGGCTTGTGTATTATAATAAGTATAGTCTTGCTTCTTGCTGCTTGAATCCAGGATTGCGCTTTGTCTATATAGTGTGGTGGTCATTGGTGAAGATGCTAATTCTTCACCTTCAATGCTAAGGTCTATACATCAAGTAAAAACCAATATACCTCATCATTGTGTGCTCTTCCAGTTCCACCAAATCATTTTTCAGCATTAGTTGATCAAAATCAACTGTGTACTCCCCCACAAAAGAATCTCTATATGTCAAGTTATAAAGTTTTGTGATCTTATCCTGTTGGTAATGCGGGAAGGTTTGTTGGTGACTCACACAAAGCTAGAGATCTAATGGAGACATCTATCACTGATTCAAGCACAAGAAGAGTAAGAAGACTAAGAATAAAAGGAAATCACGTAGATCAAAATTGTTTACATGGTAGAACATGTAAGGGCCAAACCATCTAGTTTGCTTGTCTACCGGCCTCAAAATCGTAGGGCTGCATCCGCTTCTCCTCAAAATATATATATATATAGGAGCCTATGAGTAAAATCATTCAAACCAAATATGGGACACAATAGCTACTTACATTAAAAATATATTGCAAAAGTTATCGAATGGTCTACAAATAAATTGTATATTAGTAAAGAAACTTTATCGTTGAATGAGGTGCATATAGTTATTTAAGGAAAAAAAAGTTTATTAAAGAGTACTAGAAGATAAATCTTATTGACCATGTAAATCAGTTGTATAATTTTCACCAAGGAATTTGCTCTCAGTCAGCTCCACCTTCCAGCCAACATGTACTGGACCTATGGCAGCCAGACATCTTATAGATTCCTATCAATAAGGACCCACACTCACCAAGATTTCCACCTCTTTTTGTTTCTCTCTCACTACAACCTCATTGATTTATAAGATTCCTACTACCTACTCATCAACATATGAATCATTGTAATTATTTTATAGTTAATTTTACCACCTAACTTCATATTCTTCGTGCTAGATGCTTTCTAGGATTGCATAAATTTTATGTTGAAATGAAATACAATTAACCAATTATCTCCAACGCTTGTCATGGTAATAAAAATTAAGGCTTTTTTTCCCCCTATGTGTTTGCATGGCTACAGCTTGCATCTCCACATTACCAATCTTCCGTCTTTTATTGCTCCTCCTCCCACCCAATTTTTCGTTAGTTTTGGCATTCATTATTCCTTTCTATTGCAAAAACTATAATTACTCACAATTTTGATCCTCACATCTTTCCCATTTTTCTTAGGTTTTTTTGGACCTAAAAAAAGCAACCCAAATCCAATGGAAGAACAATAGAAAACCCATTTAATGTACCTGTTCTCAATAAGTTGATCTCATATTTGATGTTTGGAAAGTACGAAACTTTGTAATGATGATATCCTAACAATGAAACTCTGTGATTTCCAAGACAAGCAACAAAAGCATATTACCTCATTCAACAAAAGAAATATAGCATACAAAAAATTTTCATCCTCATATCTTTCCCATTTTTGTTAGGAACTTTTGGACCTAAAAAAAAGCAACCCAAATCCAATGGAAGAACAATAGAAAGCCTATTTAATGTACCTGTTCTCAATAAGTTGATCTCATATTTGATGTTTGGAAAGAGCGAAACATTGTAATGATGATATCCTAACAATGAAACTCTGTGATTTCCAAGACTAGCAACAAAAGCATATTACTTCATTCAACAAAATAAATATAGCATACAACAAATTCAACACACTCCAAAGCCCATGATACTTCCCAAATTTACGATATCTAGACCAATTTCTCATCCAATTAGATCTTAAGAATCATGTTGTAAGTGTGAAGCAAATCTTCTTTTCATACATATATATATATATATATATATATATATATATATATATAATATAAAAAATATATTTTATCATGTAATTAGATTTACTGTAATTAGGTTTCCTATAATTAAACTTGCTAATATATTACTTTCCATAACACTTCCAGCTTCAGAAAGAGCCTTGTAAAGATGTCTCCTAGTTGTTCCCCAATATTTACATGAGCTGTAAAAATCAAATTGTCTTCACAAACAAAATGTCAAATCTATCTCAGTATGTTTGAAGCAATTTGGATTGCAGCTTAGTTATCTCACCACAATTTTTCTAGAACTATCATCTTGAACCCATTTCGACCAATAATTAGAAGACCCATATCAATTCACATTAAACTTGTGTTATTGCTCGATATTGGATATTTGGATTGCAACTTGGATTTTGCACTCCATAAGACCAAATTACCGCCAACAAAAACACTATATCCTCCAGTAGTGAATCTTTAATCAATCTTAGAACTTGCCAATCTACATCAAAGAAATATTCAATATTTATATGCCCATGATTCAATTACAGGATACCTTCTCCAAGAGCTCCTTCGAGGGAACATAATATTTATTCCAAAGCTGACCAATGATGGATTATGGGGTTAGATATAAATTGACTTATAATGCCAACTAAATACGCAATGTTAGGGCGAATCATTGTACGTAGTTTAATTTTCCTACTAACCTGTATCATTCAGGATCATTAAAAGACTCCCATCCAAGGTAAATTGTTGATTATGAAGCATTAGAGTATCACATGCTTTAAACTAATGTAAAATGACATTATGAAACATCAGATATTTTATAAAGTAAAACTAAGTCAAAAAAAAAAAATGATCCACAAACGTGAAAAAATATCAAAATTCATTGGATAAAATAGGATAATATCTATATACTATGACCAACTCTTTTAATAATTTTAGAAAAACAAATGATGGTGTTTAACAAATTAACACGCATATAATCTTAAAAATAATAATTGTTGAAATCGAGGGAATACATAATGACGAATGGGCTAATAGAAAATGGGATAGATGTATTGGCGTTTATCTCTTCGAAGAGCAATGGGTACATCAAAGTCACTAGGAGGATGATCCACTGCAGAAACTAATACCAATGTTGGACTATAATCAGGGAGATGAGATTTTCTACAGTAAACATTAGTGATAGGTCGTCTGGACTGAGACACTGGTGCAACTAGAGCTGGAGAGCTGGAGAGCTGGAGCTAAACTGATAGTGTGATACGTTAACAACTCATCAGACTTTTGAGAGGATTTAGGTACTGATGAGTCACCAACGAATGAGGTTTTTTCATAGAAGGTGATATAACTAGAGTCCATGTACCTGTTTAGTAGAGGGAAAAAATGAATACCCTTTTTTTTTCAAACGAGAGTATTCTAAAGAAAGCATCTTAATGACTTGAATCTAGTTTAAAGACGTGAATGAGTGCCACTAACAAAATAAGTACACCCAAATATACATGTTTGAATAGGAAAGAGAAATTTGGTTGGAAATAAAACTTGGTAGGGTATCTTGTTATGTAAAACAGTATAACACAATCAACTGATAAAAAAACAAGCAGTAGAAATTACATCAATCCATAATTATTTGGGCACGTTAGTTTGAAACAAAAAAGCTCTAACTATTTCAAGATATCTATTCTTTCTTTCAACTACTTCATTTTGGGATGAAGTATTGACACAAAATGACTGGTGAAACATCCGATTTTATCATTTGTCTGAAAAGGTGCAGAGAAATATTCTTTGGAATTGTCACTTCTCAGAATCTCAACAAAAACATTAAATTGTGAAAGTGTGACAAGAGCTCAATACAATATTTTATAATTTAATGACAAGTTATAAAAGAAAAGTGATCCAAAAAAGTGACAAAATATAAAAAATCATTAGATAAAACAGGATAAAATCCATATAAATCAGAATAAACCAACTCAAACTTATGTCCAAGTTTTTTATTAATTCACAAATTTAATACAAACGATAATATTTAACAAATTGACAAGACTCATACTCTAAATAATTGTTGAAATTGAAAGCATAACTTTTTTTTAGAATGGATAGTGGTGAATGCCCTAATCGAAAATGGGATAGGCACATTGACGTTTACCTCTTCAAAGAGCAATAGGCACATCAAGATCAATAGGAGGATCCATTGAAGAAGATAGTACAGTGTTGGACTAAGATCATGAGGATGACATTTTCTCGAGTAAATATTAATGATAGGTGGCCTAATCTGATGCGGTCGACATAAACCAGGATGAAGAAGCTGTCAAATAAAGCAATCAATGAAGTTGAACAAATCAGACGAAACTGACAAAACCGTTGATGCCTAGGGATGTAGATGAAGTCGAAGTCGATCGATGAAGA